TCGTAGGCCATGTCGAAGTCGGAGCGCGGAGCCTTCTGGATGCCTGGGCGGGGTCACGGGGGTCACCAAACGGGGACAAAGCCACCCCAGGGTGACAGCCACACCCCTGGGAGGGCTGGCACCCACCAGAGATGTCCACGGGCATGGAGATGCAGCGGCTCAGCAGCGGTGGCGGTGCTGGTGTCTCCAGGCCATTGGCTTTCATCAGCTCAGCTGCAGGATGAGATTCCCCAAAACTGAGCACGGAGACCCCAGAATTGCTCAGGGTGGGGGTTTCAGGACCCTCCTGGGGCCTCACCAGTGTCCCGGCCCTCGTCGGTGCTGCCCAGGTTGCGCTTGCTGTGCCGGACGGGGCTGGTGCGGGCGGCGTGGCCAGGCTGAGGGAAGAGCCGCAAGGGCTGCGTGTCCTGCAGGGTCGGGGACAGACGGACATCAGAGGGGCTGGGGGAACATCAGAGGGAGCTGACCCAGCCCAGGACCCCTCTGAATTTCAGCCTGAACTCACGTGGCTGAAGAGCTCGTTGGTCAAGCCCAGGTAGTTGTGCAGGGCCAGGAAGGTGACGCGCTGCAGCCGCACCATGATGATCTGCAGGGGGACACAAGGCCACCGTGGGTCCCCTGCCACCCCAAGGGCCCTCCCGGGGGTCCCCCAGAGCCCAGCTCACCTGCACCACCCTGACCAGGCTCTCGGGGTACTTCTCAAAGACAGCTGAGAAGGCCTCGACCGGCAGGCGCAGCACCGTGGAGTCCTCGGCGGCGCGGGCACACACCGTGCGGTACGGCCGCTGGTGGCCCTGGGGACACCGAGGGGTCAGGGGACACCTGGGGACAGCTGGGGACTGGGCAAGGGCAGGGGTGGCACTGGGGTTTTGTTTGGGGTGGCCACAGTTGGGCTGGAGGAGTTTGGGGACAGTTGTGGTTGGTTTTGGGATGGCCACAATTGCATTGGAGGGCTTTGGGGACAGCTTGGGCAGGCTGGGAACAGTCACCACTGAGCTTAGGGGAATCTGGGGACATGCCAGCTGGGCATGGCAGTGTTTGGGGACAGCCCCTACAATGTCCCCAAGGCTCTGGGGACATGGCTGGTACCGTGATGACGTCGAGGATGCTGAGCAGGCTGTGGACGCTGTCCCCAGGGAACACCTCCTTCATCACCGTCTCCTTCCCGTCCTGCTGAGACACAGCCCGTGTCCCCAGGTGTCCCTTGGGTCTCCAAGAGTGTCCCCTGCCTGTTCCCTATATGTCCTCAAATGTTCTTGAGGTGTCCTTGGCATGTCTCTCAATGTCCTTGGGGTGTCTCCAGGGTGTCTCCAGCTGTTTCTGAGTGTCTCCAGGGTGTCCCCTGGGTGTCCTTGAATGCCCCTGGGGTGTCCCTGACTGTGTCTGGTGTCCCCTAGGTGCTCTTGGGTGTCCCCAGGTGTCCCCTGTGTGTCCCTGGCTGTCCCCAGATGTCCTTGGCAATCTCCTGCATATCCCTGGCTGGCCGTGGGCTGTCCCCTGTGTCCCCAGGTGTTCCTCACCGCCTCGGTGAGCAGCAGCTCCAGCTTGCCCTCCTGCAGGACGTAGATGCTGCTGTCGGGCTGGCCAGGGCGGAACACGTCCTCGCCCTGCTGGCACTGCTGGAACACCATGTGCTTGCACAGCTCCAGGAACAGCGGCTTCTCAAAGTGCCCCAGCACCCTGCGGGGACAGCCAGGTCAGCAGGGGGACATGGGGACACTGCAGGGACAGCAGGGACACTGTAGGGACACCACGGGGACAGCAGGGACAGGTGGATATCCCGACCCCAGAAATGGCTCCCGACCCCATAAATGGATCCCGACCCCATAAATGTCTCCTTATGCCCAAGGACAGACCCCAGCCCCACGGACAGACCCCGGCCCCGCTCACCGGACGTTCTTGAGCATGTAGAGCACCTCGGAGGGCAGGTGAGACGAGGCCACGTCGAACTCGGTCAGGTCGGCCTCCAGCACCGAGGGCGGCGGCTCCTTCAGCTGCAGCGTGGGCGGCTCCTTCTGGATGCGCAGGAAGCTGGCCGAGACCCTGGGGACAGATAAGGGACAGTGGGGACAGTGTGGGGACATGGGGACAGCGCCATGGGACAGCGTGGGCGGCTCCTTCTGGATGCACAGGAAGCTGGCTGAGACCCTGGGGACAGTGTGGGGACAGTGCCACGGGGACAGCAGGGACACAGCAGGGACATGGGGACAGATCGCGATCCCATGACAGATCCCGACCCCACAGACAGACCCACAGACTGATCCCAGCCCCACACAGATCCCGGCCCCGCTGCCCGCTCACTTCTTGGCGATGCTGAGCATCTTGAGCTTCTTGCGGGTGCGGGGCCGCGCGGTGCCACTGGCCGGGGTGACATCCACCAGCGATGACGTGGACTGGGACACCTGGCACAGTGGGGACAGGGACACCGTGTCACTGCAGGGCNGGCCCCGTGGCGGGCAGAGGAACCCCTCTGGCGCACCCTGACCGGTGGTGTGGACACTCTGGACGTGGTTTTGGGGTGGTTTTTGGTGTTTTTTGTGGTTTTCTGGGAGGTGGCCCCGGTGAGCGAGGTGCTGACCTGGGACATTGTTAACATAGCAGCCGTCCACCAGCCAGTGGCTGTCCTTGGGGTCACAGAGCGGAGGCAGGTAGGGGCTATAGGAGGCACTGGCTCGGACGTAGCGCCAGAGGCTGCCTGGGGACGGAGAGGACACAGTCACGGCCACCGGGGACCGCGGGGAGGGACAGACGGACAGATGGACAGACAGAGGGACGTTGGCAGCCAGCAGTGCGGGGAGGGGGCTGGGTTAGAGGGGTCAGCGGGGATTAGTGGGCGTTAGAGGCAGCAGGGTGGCTGTGGACGGCTCAATGTCCCAGGTGAGCTCCAGCAGAGGGCAAGGACAAGGGGCAGCACGACAATGGTCCCAACCACCACCGCCGTGTCCCCATCACCATGTCCCCACCACCGCCACCACGTCGCCAACACCACCGTGATGTCCCCACCACCAGCACCACAATGTCCCCACTGCCACCACCATGTCCCTGCCCAGCACTGCCACCATGTCCCCATGCTGCACAGGGGGTTACTGGGGTTAGTGGTCAGCAGCGATGTTAGCACCTCGTGCAGCCCCAGCTGTCCCCTCTCCTCCCTGCTGATGTCCCCAAGGTGGGGTCAGCAGCTCCTGGTGGCTCAGGAGGCCACCCCTGCCCTGTGTCCCCCCTGTGTCCCCAGGGAGCTCTTACCGTCCGTGTGCACCCGCATGGCCGAGGCCGTGATGTCCGTGGTGACATTGAAGTAGGGCAGCCACAGGTCCTGCAGGGACGGCATGGGCTGGGTGACACCATGGGGACATCGGGGAGGGGGCCGGGGGGGACATCCGAGGGGGACACACCTCGATCTGTTTGTCCTGGAAGACTCGGTTGATGCTGGCGTTGAAGGCCGAGCCCGAGAACATGGAGGTGATGGGGTAGGTGAGGTCCAGCACGGTCTCAAAAACAGAATTCATGCCCTGGGGAGGAAGGAGGAGGAAAAACAGAAAGACAAAAGGAGCAGGAAGGAAATGAAGAAAGAGGAGGAAAAAGGAGAAGGAAGGAGATGAAGGAGAAGGAGAAAGGAGATGAAGGAGGACGAAGAGCAAAAACAGGAGAGATGAGTAAGGACAAAAACAGGAGTTGAAAAAAAAAGGGGGAAAAAGGAAAAAAAAGGAAGGAGGAAGAAAAAGGAGGAGAAGGAATAAGAGAAAAAGGAAAAGGAGATGTAAAAGGACAAAGAAGAGGAGGAGGAAGGAGAGAAGGACAAGATAAAGAACGAAAAAGCAGAAAGAAAAGGAGAAAAGTAAGAGGAATAAAAAGGAGAAAAAGACAAAGAAAAAAGATCAAAAAAAGGCAAGAAGAGCAGAAAAAGCAGAAGAAAAGAAAATGGAACAGGAAAAGAGAAGAACAGAGGAAGAAGGAGGAGGAGCGGGGAAAGGAGAAGGAAGAAGAGCAAGAGAAAGAAGAACAGGAAGAGGCCAGGTTAGACCCAGCGGGGTAGAGCTGGGCACAGGCTGAGGGTGTCCCTGGGGTGGGCATGTCCCTGTCACCCACCCTGGCCCACTCCCATGTCCCTGTTCCTGTGACCCCCCCGGCCATGTCCCTGTCTCTGTGACCCACCCTGGCCCACTCGCGGGCGCGCTGCTTGGTGCGCACGGCGCTGCGCTCCTCGGCGTAGAGCGCACCGATGAAGGCGCCGATGGAGGTGCCCCCCACGAGGTCAATGGGGATCCCCGACTCCTCCATGGCCTTGATGACCCCGATGTGTGAGCAGCCCCTGCGGGGGAGAGTGCAGGGAAAACGGGGATAAATCAGGGGCTGTGGGCACTGTGGGGCTGGGAGATGGGCCTGGGGACACGGGGGACATGGGGACACGGGGTACAGGGATATGGGGATAGGGGATATGGAGACATGGAGACACAGGGACATGGGACACGGGGACAAGGACACAGGCCATGTGAACAGGGGGACACAGACCATGGGGATATGGGGATATGGGGACAGGGACACAGGACAGGGTGACAC